ATCTTGGAATGCGGTAACATTCGGTATGGCCGACATATCTTGACCGCTACTCACAGTGCCTACGAGCCCAAATGTCAAATGTAGTATGTGTGAATTGAGCAGATTCTTCTTCTTCTTGAAGAACATGCCCAACGTTTGATAACAACGTTTACGATCCATTTCGCTTTGCGCCGCGCGATTACTACGCACCACACAGGTGAGCGCCTTTACACCGGCGTAGAGCGATTCCACATCCTGCGCCATGGCGATAATGCCCAACAACACATTGCAACCGCCCACAGTGTCGATCATAGCGGAGACGGGGTGTGGACTGAAGACGCGCACGCCCAAATAGCCAACAACCACGCCGCCAAGTGAGCGTCCAGCGCCTGCCAAGTGACCGGCGGAATTGTGCAGTATTCTAGAAAGGAAAATAGCAAGGAAAGGGAAGTGAAAGTCAGCTTTTAAATAGAAATTGTTAGCGTTTTACCTGATAGGCGTGGCGTTCTCATGCGAATTCATGCCCAATACCTTGGCGATTGACTTGTTATCCACGCGACTGTAAACCTTGCGTATTTTCACCAAAGTCAGCTGTGACACCGCCTTCGCATTCAGACCCAAGAGTACACGATCTTCCGGCACCAAGGGCGGCAACGGCTCGCTTTGCTTGCCTAACTGTGGCGCTTGCAGTGAACCCATATAATGCGGTCCCAAATTGTAGATGGTGTGCACAGTCTGTTGAGTGAGCACGTCTTCCAGCAAGTGACAGACGCCCTGCTTCCAGCAGAGACGTGAGTAGCGGCGCCAAATTGGCGGTGTACCGATGTACCCGTAGACTTGACTGGCCACGGCGAGATTGACCGAGCCAGCACCGGGGTTTTGTGAAATATAATGTAGCTTCTGTGTGTGCATGGGCTAAGGAGAGAGAGTGGAGAAGTGAGATTGAACTTTGGGTTTTACAAGATCTGTGAAAGCAAACTTACCGTGCCGTCCAAGTAAAGTGAGAGACTAGAATTCTTCAAAACTGCGCGGTTGAGTACTACCACCAGATTATGCCATTGGCCCTCGTGCAGCAAATCAGGACACCAAATGCGTGCGCTGCCGTCATCTGAGCCTTCGGGTTCCCAGTCGCCGAGGCCTGAAAGAGTTTCAAAGATCATGAATTGTGGCAGATAAGCTTTAAAAATACATCCACAAATAATAATACTGTTTAATTTCTTTGTTGTAACCTCACTTTCACAACACTTACTTTTGCTCGGCGTCACTAGCGTTTCCTGCGTGGACACCACAATCGCTTTATCACGCGCCGACAACAATATGGACAGACAGACCAAATTCTCTTCGCGCGGATTGTGTATGGTGCGCACCAAAGTCAGCAGACGAACGCAATGTGGATCTGTTTTCGGATCGGAGAACTTCTCCACACAAAACCAGGTAGAGTATGTAAGTCCCGTTTGTGGTGGAAATATGCGATCTCCAGCGCCAATGCCACCAATAGTGTTGGCATCGATAGTACCACCGGTGGTTGCGGTAGCTTGTGGCGCCAACGACGGCAAATACAAACAACCGAATCCCTCTGCGGACATATCCATCTCCACAAAGGGCGGCAACGTGCTTGAGCCGTGCGCTCGAAAATCACGCGGTGTTGTCATTGACACCAGCGTCTTGATACGTGTCAGCGGTACTGGGCCACCCATGCGATAGGGAGTGCGCAAATCAATGTCGGCGCAAGAGAGTGGTTCGCCAAGACGCAGAAACTCCCGCAACTCTGTGGGTTGTAAAGCCTGCGCAGCCAAACGCTCCAGCACATACTGCATGGAAACATGCAGCGGATTGGCTTCCTCTGAGAGCGCATTACGCGCAATCTTTAACAGCTGCTCGGCGAGTCCATAGTCGCACATGATTTGTTGATTGCGTTCGTTGCGCACCAACGATTTGATAATCTCGCTAAGATAAACTTGCAGGTTCAGCGCTAGCATGCCGCTGGTTTCGTGCTCGATGCTTGGTAGTAGTTGCAGCATGCAGAGCACAACGCCGGGATGCACAATGCGCGGCTCTGGTGTAGGCTGTGTCAGATTCAATTGATTTGGGTGCGCCGGCGGCAATTCTTTGCTGGGTGAACGCGTGTGTGTGTCGCTGAAGAGCGTTATGACGCCAGCCAAATTTGGTGTTTCAAAGTTGTCCAGAGCGATGCTGTACAGCAGGCGGTAAACTACGCAGACGTAAGACAATGAGCGCGGTATGTCCGAGTTGAAGCTGTGAGAGTTAGAGACAAAAAATATAGTGGACTCGCATCTATACAAAAAAGATCGCGTAAGTACTCACCTAAAACTCAATATATCGCCCGCGAATACCTCATGAAAGTATTTCTGCATGGCGCTGTCATTCTTGTACTCGCTTTTAAAATCATGTAGCTCAGTGGCGCTGCCAAAGCAGCCCAACAGCCGCAGCGTGTCGCACAGTGAGGCGGTGCAAATCTCCTGATGAAAGAATTTCGCATTAGCCGGCTCGAAGCGCATCGCCGTCGCCAGTGTTTGACAAACAATTTGCAGCAATAATATCAGATCATCCTGTGTAATCAACTGCGCGTCAGGCTCTACATTTGCCAACGGCTCATCGCACAACTTGCCGTCGAGCGAGACGAAAACGCTGGTGAGATACACGAAACCACCCACCTTTCGGAACACAGTGCGCGTGCGGTGCGAGTCTTTCAAGCAGCCCAGCAGCATGTTGAGTATTTGTATTTTGAACTCCACCTGATATGGTGGCACCGCATGCATGACGGAAAGTATGAAGAGCATGTCGTCATCACCGCCCGCCGATAGTATCAGTTCACGTATGATGCCCAACGCTTGTGGGCGACAATGCTTGAATTTCACTAAATCGTGTGTACATTTAGCGCCGCCGCATTCACGAAACACATTCGCGTTATTGTTACTACCGCTCAGCAGTATGGTGAGCGCTTCGAGCACATGCTTACCCAGCGTATCGGTGAGATCCTCTAGATCTTCCGCCGTGGGCACAACAACAACGTTCTCATCGCAGTTCGTTATCTTACGTACATGATCGGCATAACGGTTCAAGCAAGTGACAAACACCTCAAGTATGCCGACCTCAAGATAGACCTCCTTGAAGACCGCATTGTGTCGCAGTATATTGAGTAGCGTCTTCAAGCACAGTATGCTACAGCTAGTCGAATGATTGTTCTTCAGCAGCAGTGAGAGGCTTATCAACTCCTTACACGGTACAAAATTCAATTGGAACACAATGAACTCGAGCAAATCGAAGAATTTCTCTTGTATCTGTGGACCCTTGAGGTGTATGCGCTCTGTGAACTGGCTGAGCGTATTTTCCGAATCGAGTATGAAATAATTGGCGTTCTCCGAGTGATAGACACGCGATATGGCGTCGAGTATGGTGCAGCAAAGCGCTGGTGAGGTGGACTTCAGGAAGACCGTTTGCAGCACTTGGAATGCGTAGATGTTGCGTACGCAGGTCTCACGTGAGCTCGCTTGTGGCATTTGAAAGTTCTGCATTTTGAAAAGCGTATTCTGCACTTGTGGCGGACGTAGCTCATTGAAACCGCACATGCAAAGCGAGGAGATCATGAGGACGAGATTACGTATGGCTGCCTGTACTTCAATGGAATGGGTGCGCGTTGTGTCGAATCTAAATGAGAGGAGAAGGAGACTGGTTAGAGAACATTACAATATTAGTTAAAAGAAGATCTAAGGTCTAAGCTATTTTCATGTAGGTTTCTAAAGGGTAACGATGTTAAACCACTGAATTGAACTTAAACAAATTTTGAAGAACGCTACTAAAGTTTTTGGCTGGATATAAAGCTGGATCTACTCCGATTACGCAAACACAACTCTATTCACGACGGATCTCATGTAACGATGGATCAAGGAAATAACACAACTCTATTCACGATGGATCTCATGTAACGATGGATCAAGGAAATAAGTGTTTTAAGGAAGAATATCTTCTTGGAACACTTTTATAAACTTGGATCTAATAAAATCCGGTTACACAGAAACAACTGCCTTAAGAACGGAACGATAATAGATCTTATCGAACGATGGACTATGGAAATAAGGATTTTTAGGAAGAAAAGCTTCTTGGATCACCTTTCTAAACTCGGATTTATTAAAATTCCGTTTACGCAGAACCATGGGGGCGGATCGATAATAGATCTCTTCAAACGATGAGCCGAGGAAATCAGAGTTTTAAGGGAGAAAAGCTTTTTGGATCACCTTTATAACCGAGAATCTATTCCGGTTACACAGAAACGACTATTTTAAGAACGATTTGATAGTAGATCTCATCGAACTTTGGACCAAAGAAATGATTGTATTAAGGAAAGAAAGCTTTTTGGATATCTTATATAAAAAAAAACCCAAAACAATCGCTTTTAACTTACTTGAGCAAAAAATCGCTAAGAAAGAGATATCCCTGTGATGCTTTGAAATCGTCCAGTAATATTTGTGACACTTGACTAGAATCCTTTAGGAAGCAAAAAACGGTAACAAACATTTCGACAATCTCCAGCGGATTGCCGAAGCTCAAACGTTGCATATTATCCACGCATAAGGCCATACAGCCTTTGGCTGAAAGGAAAAAACGAAAAATTTAATAAAACTCAATACAACAACAATGGAGATGGCTTACAATGTATATAACTAACAACGGCATCGGTCAGGCCATGCCGCGAGATGGTCGTCAATATTTCCGCAGCATTTTTACGCCAAACAATATTATGCGTCGGACACGGCGATGTGATGGCCGAGAAGAGCAGCGTCAGATCGTCCATGCGCGCCAACTCCTCGGCCGGATAGGGATATGAGCAGAGCTTAACCAACAGCTGTACGAAGACCTTTTGCAGCAGCGTGCGACGCTCTAAGGCATTAAAGTCGCTTGCCGACTCGCCAATACCCGGCGGCGGATCATCCTCCACAACAGGCAGATCGAAGAACAAATACAGACATTTGACGAGCGTAGACGGCACGGCGGCTGCTGTCATAACCTGTATATTGGACAAAAAAAAAAGTACAGAAATCGAATAATTTTTAAAAAAGTAAACAGTTTCTGATAGTCAAAAACAACAATAAATGCAAGAAATCTGGTGTTTCTTCAAGTTGCTCGAAGTGCTGCTGGGCATTGTGTGCCTCACATTTCACGTTCTCGGCTTTCTGCACACGGAACCGCTACCACACAACCTTTTCTACTGCGGCACATTTGCCAGCTTCACAGTCTACGCAGCCTTTGGCATACTCAACAACTTGTGTGGGCATGGTCGCACTGCTACCATCGAAGCCATAGCCACAACTTTGGGTGCTGTGATGCATTTCGCCGCCTCGCTGCTTTCCATGTATCATGCGGAGCAAGACTTTCATTTAATGTTTCTCACCGATACGGAGGAGCCGAAGCATCGCTACTTTTTCTATTGTAAGGCGCAAAGTATTGCCGCTCTGACCACAGGTGGCATGTATATGTTGCATGCCACGTACGCCTACGATGCTGGTTTCATACGTTTCAAGCGTGAGTTGCGCAGTGGGGTCGCGAGTGATCAAGAAACCGAAGATGAGGAATCGCTACAACGCTATAGAACGCATATTGAGATGTTTGTGTGTGGAAAGTGGGTTCATAAGAAATTGTTGCGCTTCAAGTGGTTCCAAGAATTAGCCACGAAACCATGATTGCAATTTTTCAACTTGAAAAGCTTATTTGAGCTTTTGAAAAGCTTTTTGTATTAAACAAAAATATTATATAACAATTGAAAATGTGCTTTATTTGGGCAAAAGTGTAGTACAGTCTGTATCGAAGAACTTCGAGTACTCAGAGCCTACAGCTTTGTTGAGGTCGGAACGGGAAAGCACAATTCATATATAAGTATGTATTACGAATAATTTGTTTATAACACAAGCTCTCTTATTTAAAATAATAAACCCTTATTTAAAATAATAAATCCCAATATGAACGAACATTACCTGTATCAACGACACATCGCCGTTGGCCAATAAATTCAATGTAGACAACAACATCCAGCCGCTGCTCGTCTCCTCGGTCGTTTCGATTTCCAAAAACTTAACAATCGCTATAGACGCGGCCTCGGTGCTTTGATTTGAGGCACGTTTTCGTATCTCGCTGACCATCAAACGTGAAACTTGCTGACAAAAGGCCACCACATCCCAAAACTTTTCGCTCATATCCGCAGCCGGGCATGTGCTAAAGACCTGTATCCGCGAGCAACATGGAACAGAAGAGCGAAAGAAGAAAATTGTGTTTAGTTAGTTTAGCTAAAAATAACTTTTAGACATGCGTGTTGCGGGTGGTACCTTGCAAAATAACGGCAGCATCTGATACAACTTCATGTCCCTCTCATGCTCGCTGAGCGCCTCCTTTGGATGTGTGTACTCATTGAAAAGCTGCTTTAGTGTGTGTAAACTAATTTGTATGCGTGCACCTGTGGCAGCGGTTATCTCATCGCCGACACGTGCACCGCCTGTGTTGCTGCTGCCTGTTATATTGCCATTAGCGGTGGCACCTGCCGCACCGGCTGTGGGTGAACCACCCGTAGCACTATTATTGCCACGTAATTTACGCATCACGTTCATGGTTGCCGCTTAACGGTCGGATCGTCGAATGCGCGTGTATGTGTGACTTTTGTGGTGTTTCTCTGTGGCTTCAACTCCGTATGCGGAGCAACCGCAGCCACCGCTAACACCACAGCGTCTTTGCGGTCGATTTTGCTCTCGTGTGTGTAAGTTTCTGTATTCGGGAGCGTGTGTGGGAGCACCTTCGGGTGTGGAATGAAACCTTACGTTGATATTAACAGTTATTGATTGTTTGGTTTTAGTTTGCTTGTGAACACCGTATGTAATCTGAGAAAGAAAAGTAATGACATTTGTGTTGTTGTAAAAAGAATATATCACATGAGCGTTACTAGTCTTAAATATAAAATATTTCGTGGCATTTCCAAGCACTTAGTCACCCATATTTTACCGCATACAAATAATAATTAAATCGACTTAACTGCAAGCATAAGTCTTTTCAAACATACTGCAGGACTCACTCCCAGAGGATTAAAGTTGAATGTAAGTGAAACTACAAAAATAAAGCAATAAAAATAAAAGCAAATTATATACTACCATATCTTGTATACATATGGTATTTTACCCTCATAGCGCTGTCAATATTTACTATCGCGAATAAAATCAAAAGGGAGGCAAAATACCAAGTTAATACCCTTGTGGCAAACCGCATTCGTTGCAAAGTCACAAACACGAGAAGCCAAGCGAGTTCATGGAAAATTATATTGATTTCAAAATAATAAAATGGGATTTGTACATTTGTGTAAAGCAATATGCTGAAAGCGAAAACAAAACAGATGAAGAAAAATAGTCTGAAAGTGTTTTTGTTTTACAAAAAACAATAATTCCAGTGTAAGTGTGACGTTGAAATGGACCAAAACGTGTGTTGGCTAACAAATTAGAGCATATACTCTATTATATTTATAGTTATTGAACGAGTTGTGTCGCAGTCTCTTCACTTGTGGCCGAATCAGTTTCGTAAATAATTTTCCTTCTTTCTCTAAGTCGCCATTTTTTCTAAGTACCGGATTACAGGAATTTTCAGTACTGGAACTCTGGGGAATTACTATCCTTTTTAAATACCATTTCTACATTCTAAGACCATGACCACATTCCAAAAAGCCGACTAATTTGAGTGAGAATTTCAGTTTCGAAGGAAATTGGAAGTCGGAAGAGTCTATATTTATGTCCAACGAAAGGATTGGAATGATTTGCCATACTTTGAATGTCTTTTATATAGAGAAACTGGTTTTGGTTTAAAAAAGCTATATAAAATTACTCATGGGACTACGCACCCATTTATTCTAAGTTTTATTAGTGCGAGTCGATCTCATTTCAGTAAGAAAACTTGCAGTTCAACTAGAATGATATATGTTGCACTTTTATTAATTTTTCAGATCTGTCTTCAATTTCTTAACTACTGATCTTGTATGAAGATGAGTACTCTTAGATTTGAGAGTAAAAGAGCGTCCGATTTTTTTGACTTTAGTACTGCTTTTACTCCATAAGTTCTGATTGTTTGATAGTATTTTAGGAAGCTTTTTCTCTTTAACCGTTTTTTTTTAGATATAGACAAATACTTGAATTTTACTAAAAGAGAGGTTTTACCCCAAATCAGATATAGACAAATACTTGAATTTTACTAAAAGAGGGGTTTTAACCCAAATCACAAGGTTCCTACCAGCGCCAGTCATCCTGAAAGATGATGGACTACGTATAGGCACTACATCTGATACTGCTAAAGACTATGCATATGGTCTATGCATAGCGCGTTTGCCCACCAAACTAACTTAACTTTGAGCCAAATCTAATAGGATTTTGCAGAGCAATATTGTTTTACAATTTAAAGTTGTACAAAAAGTTGTTCTAGATATCAGCTATGTTTTCAAGGCATTTTATAACCCAAATGTGTAATATGAAGGCCTGGCGTCTGGCAGAAAAGGCAGGCTGTAGTCTCGGAACCCAATATTATTTACGAAGACACAGCTATACCAAATTGCAGAAACATAAATTATAGAATCTAAAGATTTCAAAAACGCGAAATCGAAGGCCGGTCTATGTATTGGCTCTCCTTTGGATTATCAAACAACTTTCAATCAACAATCTAATTGAGCAATTTAAAGGTTTTCTGGGTTTTCAATCGCCATGTTTAGCAGTACATAGCTCCCATAATTCCCTCGCATATCGGTCTATCGTACAACCCTGCTTACTAGTCTAGCGCTTTGCTTATACATACTTGTAATAGCATAATCAACTTTAAGCCCACAGGCTCTAAAGTCACTAACTACTAGTTGTACTCATGCTGAGTAATCTTATCACAAGCCTGACTGCATGTAATGACTTTACTATGTTAATTTTCCAGACGACAAACATATGCGTTACCCCTGAAACGGCGACTAAATTACGCTGTGGCATGACGTCTGCGTTGTTTGCGTGCCTGTGACGTGAGCGAGTAAATTGATTTAAGCCAAGGCGGCTCTCATACCTACAAGTAGTACATCTAAGTAATTATGTATGTGTGTACATAAGCTGTAGTAAAACATATTTCAAATATATGCATATATATAATCTATACATACTTGTATGTATAATATGTATATGTTGAATATGTGTATGTGTGTATGAAAAGTGGTCTCATGTGTAATTTGATTAAGTCTAAATTAATTACTCTCAATGTGTGCACTGCATTCGCTGCACAAAGTTCTAATAAATTTTATGTTTTTCTACGCAGTAATTGTTGTTATTGCAAGTTGTTGGATTGGTGGTAAAACTGCGTTATAAATCGAGTTAGATGTCTGACATTCAAAGTACAAAGATTGCAATATGAATATAATATAAAAACAAACTTGTATTAAACGTGAAATTCTTCTTGGAAAAAAGGAAGGCTTAAGGGGTTAGATCCACTTGCAAGTCAGAAAAAATGCATTTTTCATAAAATTTTTTTAAGAGGTATTTTATTTAATAAATTGAAAAATTTAGTTTCTCTTGTTTGCATAGCGCATCTCAATGGGACCTCCCAAAAAAAGTGTTAGTGGTACGAAAGGTTTTTATACTAAAAATTATCTCACATCCAAAAACCATAAAAAACCTATTATTACTATAGATGAATGCAACAAAGCCAAGTCAGGCACTAAATGTTACTTTACCTCCATTTACGAGTGCTGCAGACTTGTTTTGCAGGCAACTCCCAGCGAAATCAGCTGTTAGTCTGACGGTATCCTTACTATTAGTCGCTGTTATAAGGGACATTCTAAAATGCTTAAAGTTCCCGTTTCTACCAAATACTACGGCTTTTCGAAATCCTATAGTATTAAACTCAAACTCGATCCCCAATATTGCCTTCCCTGCTAGAGAAAAGTGGTGAGGTTGACAGGTATACAGGGATAAGTAATCATATGGATGCAACCAAACTAGTTAATCGAGTGGGAGGTGGTGTCTTTGCAGCAGAATCAGATACCAAAATCGCCTTCCGACTATCAGATGACTGCAGTGTCTTCCAAACGGAGATAATTGCGATTAAATAAAGCCTTCTTGTTCTGACAAAGAGTGTGCTCACAATAAGAAATTTTTTTATATATACAGATAGCCAAGTGGCTTTGAAATCACTAAAGTCTCTTAGGGTTTCATCAAAGATAGTGGCCTCTGGATCTCTTAGAATATTATATTTCATGATAAACCTGCAATGGGTTTAAGAACACATCTGCCTATGGTTATTTGTAGATATTTTAGTAACAAACTTTTTCCACAAGCAGGCAAGCATGGGACGAATGGAATATAGGCCGCACATGCCGACTATTAAAACTCAAAAGGAATCATATAAGAACTCTAGATGTAGACACTGTCTAATGGGCAGATATTTCAGCAGACTGGGAATACAATTCAATGACTTTTGTAGAAGCTATCAGCAGGTAGGAAAAGAAGAGATTATATTATATATTATATTAAATCAAACTTTTTGTATTAATGAACTTCATTGGGGAAACAGGGTGGTTGAGAGAGGATATAATAGAGTGTGGGGATTTTAGTGCCGGTGATTTCACAATGCGTCTCCTAATTGTATGTACATGCAAAGAACTTCGACTTTACGAAATTCACAAGTGTATATAACACCTTAAGTAAATGCCAAGCGTTGAAAAAACGCAGGAGGGTAAAAAGTTGCTTCACAAAATGAAATTTCTAACACTTCCTAATTTTTGCCAACTAAAAATTTAGCTCTACAAATACGATCCACTAATTGGGAAATCATTGCCCTGCCGCACCGCTTTGATTACTCAACATAACGGCATACCTGCCAGCTTAACGCTTCCTCTTCTTCATTTTCTTCATTTTTCTGTAATTAACTCTACTGCTGCTCCACTGATCGACAGGTGTTACTCAACCCACAGCA